CACCGTAAACTCAAGGCCGCAAGGGTGCAAAAGAATAACTTCAAGAGCTACAGGTAAAGTTACTACTTTAATTAGAATAATCACAGGATGTATTAAATCTTATGAAAAACTTCTTAATGAGAGCATTTTCTTCAAAAATAGACATTATGCTGTATATACAAGCCTACCTCCCCCACCTCTACCAATTCCATGCAACAATTGCTCCTAGTTCACACACACAACCGATAGCTGTAAAGAAAAAACTATCTGTACTAAATGTCAAGGAAATCACAATTCAAACTCCTGTCAAACAACTCTCCCCCCAAAATGCTTAGCGTGTAACTCAACCGAACTGCCTGGTCTATGGCATGCCCAAAAAGGCCTACTAATCCCATTGACGGCATACCGAATATTACAATTAAGTCTAATAATAAAAGATCAGCTGAATTAGAAGTTAAAACTAGGAAAGAAAGCAGAATCCATATCACATATACAACACATGATCTAATAATTGACACATACATAACTTATATAACATTGATACAGACTGTGTTTTTTCTGGTAACAGGCTGTATGTCTTAATGTTTGATCTAGATCAACCAAACTCTGGCACACCTACTGAACCTAAAGAAGGCACTTAATATACAACTAACCAAGATCCATCAATACCTGGAACTAGCTTTCATTCTTAAATTCTTATAACAATCATCAATAGTTTTAACAGGAAAAAACAATTAATCTATAATTACAAATAATATACAATGCTCTTTGTTTGTGGAAACTAAATTAAAGGAAGACATCAGTCCATTTAGAGATTGGTCGATTATTCAAAAAAAGGTAATATACTTAATACTATCGTGAGAGGTGGCAGTCTTATTATGGCATCAAGAAGCTCTAAACTTGGCAAACAAAACCCACCAAGAATCAACAACCCTATGAATGAAACTCTTCATGTCTCCCTTCCCTTTTTCGCAGATAAACTGCATATTTTCCTGGTAAATATACACCCACACTGCGTAATATGAAGACACCATCTTTGTTAAATTCAGTGCAAATATGCCATTATAATTGGAGATTTTAATGTAAATCAGCAAAAGAAAAAACAAATATCTAACTTTTTAAATAATTCCAATTTCGAACAACTAAAAACTCCTCCCAATTTCATTATGGCCAATAACCCCGACTCCACGCCAGATATTCTTCACTGTACCAAAAACATAGTAAACAGCATAAAAAACATATCTGTTCTCCCAGATTTATGTACTGATCATTTAGCCATTCAATTTGAAATTATCAGCCATCAACTTCCAACAGCTTCCATTCCAGAGTACATCCTGAACTTTGATAGATGCAACTTTGAAAAAGTAAACATGGAACTATTAAATTGTTGCTCTTTGACAAAACATCTATTAAACATTTTCTAGTACAACTGAAAGAGAGCGTTATAAATAACACACCTAAAATAAAAAGATCATATTTTAACTACAATCTTCCACCATACATTCTTGCAATGCTGAAAACGAAAAGAAAACTGTACAGAGAAATTATACAAAATAATTATCCTCAATTAAAAACTCTATCTCTCTCAAATATAATAAGTTAGTCCACAATATGGTTGCCCAATACAAAACACACAAATGGCTTGAGGCTTGTAAAAACATTAATGACCTACGAGGAAAAAACTATTGGAAGGAGATTAAAAAACTTTCAAAATATGGAAACTGTCCCCAATCCCACAAAATTATTGAAAACAACCAAACACTAACATCAGATAAAGATATAGCCACAGCCTTTTTTTGAAAATAGCTATAATTTTTTGGAGGATCCCAAATTTGATAATACGTATCTAACAACATCAATGTCTGGTACAGCAATTTCTTTAAGGTACAAAACGTCAACTTAACCTCTCCCACTATTAGCGAAATAGAATACTAAAAAGTTCTACAAGAAGGAAAAAATTCCGCCCTAGGACATGACTAGGTTAACAGAAAAATCTTGAGAAATCTTGTACCAGAAATTCATGAATACATCTTATAAATTTATAACTACTCTTTAAAACACCATTACTTCCCGTCAATAAGAAAGAGGGCATTATCATAACTATTCCCAAATTTACATCTGCTTCAACACCAAGTGATTACAGACCAATCACTCTTTTACCTGTGATTGGTAAAAACTTTGAAAAAATTATTAAAAATCATCTACTCCAGGAGATCGGTGATAGGATTCCGCAGTATCAATTTGGTTTTAGAGAAAAACACTCGACAATACATCCGCTAATTACACTGGTCTCAAATCTGCAGCAACACAGCATAATAGGACACCACTCGACAGCTCTTTTCCTTGACATTAGCAAAGCTTTTAATAGTGTGTGGCATAGAGGCTTGTTATATAAACTCTATCTTCTGGACTGCCCAGAATATCTAATGTGGCTGATTAAAAACTTCTTGGAAAACCGATCTCTTAAAGTAAAAATAAACAAATTCACTTCAACATCTTTTTCAATTGCACAAGGAGTTCCTCAAGGCTCCCCATTATCTCCAACACTCTTCAATGTATTCGTTTACGATATAATAACAACTATCTGCCCCAAAAAACTTACGTACTGCAATACGCCGATGACACAGCTTTAATAGCCCACAACAAATCCCTCTTAACAGCTCTCAATAACCTGCAATCGGCAATTAACATGATCTCTAATTAGTTTGCAAGTTGGCGAATAAAGATTAACGCCAGGAAATATCAGTTTATTATTTTTAATTACAAAATTAAAGATGACTCGCCACAAATATCAATAGAAAACCAACATATATTCCCCAAAAACAGTATTAAGTATCTTGGAATGATTATTGACTCCAAACTTAATTTTAATTGTCACACTCGAACCATTACACAAAAGGTCATTACTAGAGCAAAACATTTCAAATCTCTAACCTTTAAGAAGCAAGATATAACTATCAAAACAGCCACCACCATAATATGTATATTATACAAAATGATCTGTCGGCCACTGTTGGACTACGGTTCCATAATATTCAAGAAACCCCTTATTCAACCCCTCAAATCTGCTTTTGTATGAAAGAACCAACATGACACCCATTATGGAAAGAATATGTAACCTCTCTGAGAATTTAAATTCTGCAATAAAAGTAGAAACCTTGAAATAATGGAACCCTTTATTTTTCCTGAAATAGAAGGCATCCCAAAAGAAAGGAAATTTCCACTGAAACCCCTGTGAAAAATTATTTTGGAACAGATAGATTAATATCAATTGTTTTTTTTTAAGATAATTAAGTTTATATACCTAGTTTATAACTATATCAAATATTTTGTAAAATAAATAGTATATTACACTACAAGGGCAGAAAGTGTGAGATTCCTGCACTGCGCGCCATGATGCCCGAGGCGCACACTTTGGGAACCTCTGGTATAAGGTTTAGATTTAAATGAGTAGTTGGCGCAATACCAATTTTTTATTTTTTTCATAAGTCCCGTTCCATATAGGTTGGCCCAGTGAATTCAATGGTATCAATAATTCCAGGTTTTCTCTCAATTTTTTTGTTTCTGGGCGACGAAGTTGTTTGTTTTGTGTAAACGTATGATATTTCTAAAAGTATACAGAGATACATTTCTTACTTTTAATTTTATTAGTATGGCACATTTTTAATTAAAAGACTCATAATTCTAAAAAAAGACTATTAACTTTAAAACTTTTTATCATGTTATATATATATATATATATATATATATATATATATAATAATATATTATATATATAGATTTTTAATAAAATTAAAAAAAAAATTAACTGTTAAGTTAAAGTTTATTTTTTACTATGACAATTGTCTTGAGTTATATTGCAAACTAATAAATAGTTTGTATAAATTATGGCATGTTAATTTCTGCAAGCAAAAACAAAAACATTTTGTTTTGTTAAAAAACATTGTAAACTAACTTTGTAAGTAATAAATTTAATCTTGTTATAAGTTAGATTCTCTATTGTAAATTGTGTTTCGATTAGAAAATATATTTTCAATATTTTCTCATGGCTAGGTCAACTAATATGGGACAGGGCTTGTATCCCTTCAAACACAGCTTACATGAATTTTGATCAAAATTTATACAAATGGTTTGTGTGTGGCAGAAACCACAGTGGCATCTTTACCGCAAGGTAAAATATTCAATTTAAAGGTTCTCATTATAATATGTGAATAATATAATATGAAAGAAATTTACATACATTTTGTGTAAATATTTTAGCAGAATTTATAAAAAATTGTGCAAATTTTCAATTTAAATTTTGTGCGTAAATGAATAAGGTCTGTGGTAAATGCGGCAGGGTTGGCTGCCCAGTGGGCAGTGCACTTAAAAAAGCCAGCAGGGTTTTTTAAAAGTGATTTTTTAACTTTAACTCTTCGATATTTTTGTATATTTTTTATTTTGTAAAAATATAAACCATTACATTTTTATGTATGTAAAAACCTAGTCTGCAAAAATAAGCTATGAAGGAGAAGGTAGTGAATATATTTGAATTTTTCTTATCGACAGTATTTCTTTTGAAAAGTAGTTTTTTTACTAACATCTCGAATTAAAAAACCCACTTATAAAACCGAAAAAAGCCCAAGGGGTTGGGTTTTATTTAAGAAACCCGGGTTTTTTCCAACCCTGAAATGCGGACATCGCCTTGAACAAATTTTGTGAAATACGTGCATTTAAACGCGTTTGCATCACGTTTGCATGCAAGATGTGTTTCAAGTAGTAATATTGATTACATTTAACTAAATTTTTAATTAACACCCAACATGTTGTGGCTCTTTTCACTAAAAACTAGATTTATTTAAAAAAACAAGCTGTGTTAAATTTTTGGGTACCTACTTAAATAAAAACAAAAATTGCGATTTTTGAGACATGTAATTTTTCTTGTGTACCGACAATATGCTAAATTGTAACCCAAAATTCATTTAGACTAGCTTAAAATATTCTTGGCATAATCATATTAAAAAATATTACATTTGTACTAGCAAGGAGAAGAAGACAAATTCTTTGGAGACGCCTTCACGATAATCCTGAGCTCTTGGGACCGCGAGAATCTCATGACGGATCGGCAAGAAAAGATGCGATATTGTCCGATCGCCATTTTCAACAAATACCTTCAGGTGCACTTGGCACCGCCGGACGGCACACGGCAACCATGTGCCGACGATGCGGATGAGATTGAGGACAATGAAGATAACGACAGGATCAAATACAAAGATAATCTACAGGTGGTTGGTCAACTGGCCAGATACGTGCTTGATCATTCTTTGAGTGTGTTATTAAAGTAAGTCTTTTCTTTGAGGGTGTACCAATAAGAAATGTAGAAGTAAATAAAACGATTTTGGTGAAATAAAAAAATACAAATGGTTGTATTTAAGAGCTAATTTTATAATATTTATGATTTAAACAAATCATCAGCATAATTGTTGGCTTTAGGGACAATCGAGGGATTGTAAACTGTGTAGACCCACTTTACAGAGCCATTTCGTGCAATTATTGACACACTAAACTTTCCACGCAATAAGTTCATTGTAATTCTGAAATGTGTCTCACCAACTTGTTAAATATAAAACCCGTCCAGATCGAATTTTGTGAAAAAAATAATTGGTCAACATCGACCAATAATGTTTTCCATTAACGAAAAAAAACCTTCCTTCCTCATTAAAAAAATAGGGATCGATGGATTGAATTTACTCGAAGAACAATTTCGCCTTTTATGCAAAAATACTATTTTTAGGACAAAGTGCTCTACAAGTAGATAGTAGGAGTATAACTCAAATTTCAATAGTAAGTTTGTACAATTTATAAGCATTGTGGTAGAATAAAATTATCCATGTCGAAATTCAAACCTTACCAAGCACCAGTGTTGCCAGATTGTCAAAGCATGTTGCCCTCCCAAATGATCCAGATGGAGCTCAATTTCCCCCTTAAATTCAGTGCTTTACCCCTTAATTATTAAACTTTAAAATTTTACAGTGCAAAATTTTCTTTAGGTAGGATTATAGAAGGATTATAGAAGCATTAAAAATCATCTTTGGTCATTTATTACCTAATGTATTATTATATGTACCTATAGTATTTATCCCAAGCATCGGCAATAGACCTATTCCATAAAACGGACTTTTGGATAGCGCGTGCGTGAAAAGGCACGTCGTCTTTTTTTAATTATATATATATATATATATATATATTCAGGCACGCGCTATCCAAAAGTCTGTTTTATGGGATAGGTCTATTTCGTCGAAAAAATCTAGTTTCCATAGATTATTTTGATATTTGACAACAAATTTCCCAAAATATTACCATAAATATCAGATTTTCATAAAGACCGAAATTAGCTGAAGGTCGCCGAGTGTCCGTAACCAAATCGCATGGATGTATTAATATGTGTATATAGTTTCATTAAATTAATTCTTATTTTTATATTACAACCAGTTTTTAAACAAAAAACCTAAAAAATGATAAATTTCCGTAAAAATCCCCTTAAGTACTTTAGTATCACCATAAAAATCCCCCTAAGAGTGTCGTCCCCCAAAACTCTCCCCGAACCTATGGAAAAAAACCTGACCTGGCAACACTTCCAAGCACAAAAAACAACAAATATAAGTAATATATTATGTTTTTAAGCCCCACATTGTGGGGCCCACAATCCACACAACAAGGTCAGTTCTAGGTAGCTACAGTTAATTTTTTTTATTTGGACTCATGTTTTTTTATTAAGTTGGTAGCTTATGTCAGTTTGATTTTCAGTATTTAAAAAATGGTACTTCTGCTGAAGACCTTAATACCCTGACACTGTCAAATTGACAGTATTATTTATTATTGATAATGTACTTGTTAATTATTATATAATATATATAAAAAGATAAGTATACCCACAATCCACACAACAAGGTCTGTTCGATCTCGTAGTAAAAATACTAAAAATTACTGCAACACTGCACATCATACGATGGCGGCCATTTTTGTTGTTTACTATTCTTGTGCTTTTTCTGCCACTGAGGCATTTGACATAATTTCATCGAAATGAAGTTTTGCCTTTAAAAGTTATTTTACTTTAAAATCTGATATTAATTTTGGTATACTCACAATCCACACAAGGTCTGTTCGATCTCGTAGTAAAAATACTAAAAATCACTGCATCACTGCACATCATACGATGGCGGCCATTTTTGTTGTTTACAATTCTTGTGCTTTGGGTTTGTACAGATTAATAATCGTTTTAAACGTTGTGTTTCGCACAGAGAGACTTGCAAGCCTTAAAAGAGAGCTCAAAGTAGTAAGAACAATCATTTTACTCCTCTTTTGTAAAAAATAAACCTTATTCTATCAGGGCTGTCAAATGTCAATTTGAAGGCTAATTTAAGGTTATTTTATAACCCACAAATTAACCTTCAATTTGACATTTGATAGAATAAGGTTTATTTTTTACAAAAAAGAGTAAAATGGTTGTTCTTAGCACTTTAAGGCCTCATTTTATGCTTACAAGTGCCTCTGTAAGGAAACACAACGTTTAAAACGATTATTAATCTATATAAACAGCACAAACCCAAAAGAAAAAATTGTAAACAATATAAACATGGCCGCCGTTAGATTCTGTGCAGTGCTGCAGTGATTTTTAGTATGCGCGAAACGAGATAAAACAGACCCTGTTGTGTGGATTGTGCATCGCCCCAGATATTTTTTAAAATTCGGACATTCTTATTAATAACCTCGTTATAATGTGTAATACATCGCTGTTTCACGTGGAAGTCATTATGACATCATTTTACTGTCTCTTCGTTGTCTTAAATTCATGCAAGCATACAAGTGTGAAGTCGTTATAAGCTCATATTATGACCACTGATGCCGATAACAACCTTCTTTACCTAGCCACTGTGCTTTTGTTTAAAGTGTAAACAGGCACCGACAGACAGCCTCTTTTGGACCTTATTAGTATCGGGTAGCCATATGGTGATGAAGCATACTCGAACACACTGCCCTCCACCACGGTGGCTGTTTGAGCATCACATTTAAACCAAAATGGTGACGAGGTTAAAAGCCCAGTTCTCACAATTTTTACTACTCATGGAAAACCTATTGTTCGATATTGATAACGATGCTACGAAAGCGCATAAGTAGAAATTACCGCAAAAGTTAAGATTTTAAAATGATAAGAAAAGTTATTAAAATTACTATTTTTTGTAATAGGTACCGTAGAACGCGGTGACTTCGGACGATTTTTAAGGTTTTTTTAAATTTTGAATCGGTAATGTTTGTTATTTTGAACTAAATTTTTTACAGGGGATTTTGGAATCCTTCCGGTATAAGTTTACGTAAAAATTATAATAGTCATACAAAAACTAATAATTTTTTTTTTGTCAAAGTCTGTCCGAAGTCACCACTTAAGGTGGGGCGATTTCGGACAAGCGTTGTAAAATTTATATAATCGAAGCTAGCACATTCAGTGGCGACTTCGGACAGAAATATTGCTTTTAAAAAAAGCATAAAATTAGGAAAAAAAGCATGAAATTAGGTAAAAACTCATTCAAATGGAAAAGGGCATTTTATTTATCAAAATATAAAATAAAATTGAACTCTGAGGATCAAAACAATAAAACAAATATATTTCTTCTTATACCTAATACTAGTATATTAAAAAATATAGTCCTCCATGTAGTTTCTGTAAAAATTGCTCTCCAACATTTTTTTATAGACCCTAACCAAGTCGCCCCCTAAAATGCAAATATTTGTATTACAACCCTGTATAAAAGTTAATGTGATACGAACGTAAACCAAAAAAAAAATTTATCAACAAAATTACGTACTACCGAAAATCTATATTATTTTGATCATACAGTGCATACTTACTTGCTGGCACCAGTTACTTTTACTAAGTTATACAAGAAGTAAAGTTTGAACTCCAGACTAAACGATGCAAAAAGCTTATTTCACTTAACAACCGAACCCACGTGCCTCTTGCCATAGCTTTAGCCAGCTTCTACGAAGTTTTACGGTACCTAATTATTTATTAGAGGATCTCTATCTTCTAAATCTGGCCCCAAGGGGTAAATAGAGCTATTTTTCCAGTTTTTTTTTTCTAAAAAAATTAACTAAGCATTTTAACATAATTTTATTGCCAAACGCAGATTGGAAAAAACAAACATTTTGACAAAATTAACATATAATATATTTTAGTTTTCGTAGCACTCAGCACAAAGCTTTCTCTGGTGATCTTGGCATACATGTTTAAGCAAGTTACTCTGCTTGCCTTGTCCCGTGATCTAGGGCAAATATGTCACCTTTTCTTAGATTTCGGCACTAGATCCTCAGGTTTATTGACTACTTCTCCTTTAAAGTGGTTGTTCAGCCGTTTTCTAATGGCACCAAGCTGTGCACCGGCTGTACCTAATAGGTACTACCTATCAGCTTTAGAAAATAACAGTTGCAGGGAATAAATTTTTGGTGGGTGTCTAAATTTCTCAGAGCTTCATTTGAGGAATAATTCAGGGACAGAATTTAAAAAAAAACAGCCAAGATGCTATAGGACTTCAAAGTGCGGCTGGGCCATATGTCCCGACTACTTAAAGGTAAAACGGACGCTTCAAATTTCGATAAATTTGAAGACCTTCCCCTGGGATTCCTTTGTTCTTTAGGGAAAAAAAGTTTTTTTTTTGCTTTTTTCCAATTTACGATTTGGTGATAAACGAGTTTGGAGGGTATAAACAGTGCCTGTAAAATTGAGTAACTTTAAGATGGCATTACTGCAATGAAGGTCCTAAATTTGTTAGATTAGGTTTAGGTTATACTATAGGTTATGTTTATATTCGTTTATTCAGTTTATTACTGTTCTTTCATTAACTAATTTAATAGACAACTTTTTCTACATTTTGCTACTTTAATATCTTAAATCGTCAAGTTCCGATCTTACCCGGATTGCTTACTAGCGCCATTCTGGGTACTTATTAAACTACTATCCTACGCCTTTAGCTAAAGTTACCTTTCCTATACCCTCCATACAAATATTAATATTGTAACGTTTTTACCATAGAAAAAGGATATAAGAAGGGAGACCTCAGTGTTAGGTAAAGGAAACACAACTGACATTTGTAGAGATGATACAAAATACTACGAACAGGTATTTTGTAACAGGTATAAGCATATAACAGTCTGTAATAGGTATCGATTATATAAAGTACTAGGTACACCTAGTATTTTATAAAATACTAGGTACACCTAGTATTTTATAAAATACTAGGTACACCTGGTATTTTATAAAATAGGTACCTACACCTAGTATTTTAT